CTCTCTCTCTCTCTCTCTCTCTCTCTCTCTCTCTCTCTCTCTCTCTCTCTCTCTCTCTCTCTCTCTCTCTCTCTCTCTCTTTGATATAAAATAAGTTATTTAAAGTTTGAAATGAAAGCATATATTCTCATCTCACAACTAAGAGAATTCATCATTGTGATTAAAGAATCCAAAACAATAGGACATCATAAATATAAGACTTTAAATGAAATATATATTCTCACAACTAAGATGGATGGCTTACACAATAAGACTTAATAAAACAATGGGTCACTCTAGACTATGCCTAGTTCAAATTAAGAATCTAAAATAATGGAACTTCATGCCATGTCAAAAAGGGATTGGATTTTACCATCATGGAACTCACGAGTCCTAAATAATAGGAACTCGGGACAATGGCAATCTCTAACCTAGTATCATCTGTTAATGAAAGTAGATCCCACAAACATGGAACCCAAGATTTTAATGTACCAAAATTTTGGACCATGGTTGATGGGAGCAGGGATCTATTTCGAAATGGAACTAGATTGCACTGATGGATGGAACGTGGTCCCTATTTTTTGGAAGCGAGATCCCAAAATTAAAAAACCGAGGTCATTACAAGATCCCATGCAGAAACCGTCAGATCGAGGTTCCGGAGCGAGATCATCACCCTACCCACAAGGTTCCCTTGACTATGGTCAGAACACTTCACTGTTTAATTGTCCAGTTCAATTCTGATAACAGTGATGTCAATAACAAGCAAGAAACCTAATCACAAGACGAGGCCTTTTTTTTTGTTAGTTTGTTGACTGTCTATTCTATTGACAAAAGAGAGAAGTACAAGTATCCAAAAAGTAGGCTTCCCACTTGCTGGGAGGTCTTTACAAAACATAAGCTACCCGCAGGGCAGGAGCTCTGTACAAAACATATAAAGGCTACCCATAAACAGGTAGCCCTGTACAAAAAATCACCGAGAAGGCGAAACACCAGATAACAAAAAATTCCTCCCACAGGGTAAAAAAAAAAAGTACAAGCACATAGACTCGAAGACTAATGAGCATCAAAACTCAGAGACTAGTAAGTAAGTGTCAAGCCAACACAAATAAGAAGTAAAAGACAAGTCGAAGATAGAAGACTACCAACATATAGATAAATTATCCACATGAATCACGAGAAAAGTAAATTATAATGACAAACTTCTCAGTGAGCTGGTCCATCCCTGATTCCAATCATCATCAAACGAATTTTACATATCTATATGTGCAAAATCCTACAACATGTTTCATGCTACATCCATAGGAGTACAGCCCATCCTAATTGAAAACGATGGAGTGGAACACAAGAGAAGAGAATCCAATGTTAAATTCTGAGCTCTGTTTTCATTACGGCGCATCAATTTTACAGAACAGCTCAAATCAAATTATGTCATGCTTTAGAGAAGTAAAGCCCATGGCAGCCAAGGTAGCAGGGGTATTAAAGGAGGATTTTAGTGGTTGGGGATTTTATGACCTGCTTTAAGCTGCTCTATTTTTATCCATATCAGAATCTATCTCCGCATTTCCTTAAAATAAACAAAATGTACTATATTAATTATCAAAGAGAAACAAAAGATAGCTGTTGTGGTCGTACGCAGTCAGGGAACACCTTCATATTCAAGATTCAATAACCTTAAAACAAAGATGGCCCACAGATAGTGCTGACGTCTTTCAATTTCAATAACCCAAAACAAAGAGGAAGAAACAAATACACTCCTGCCAGACATCTGTATGATGCTATTGAAACGACTATTTTAGAAAAACCATTCCTTAATTGATGATGCATCAAATCCTAGCTGTAACAGTTAAAAAACCTAATATTTGAGGACTTACGCGAATGGTTTGAGCAGTCTCAACACATGTCACTTCATCTAGTAGCTGCTGCATTGCCTTAAATATGTTATTGTCTTTCATCTGATGCAATTTCTGGAAGCATTCCTCCATCTTTGAAGGGTCAACAAATGAAGTAGACATTGCTTTGAAAGAAGCCAGAATCTTCTGATTAAGTTCCTCATTACAATTCTCCTACAGTGTCCACAAAAGTAGACATTACAAAACTGTCATTGTGCAAGTATGTCCCTTTTTTTTTTTTAAACGTTGGATTAGCAATTTTTTGAAACCGTTGGTAGTTTTCAAAAGGGATTAGCATTGGTAGGAATGGAAACCAAGACCGGTAGCTGAGTCACAAGTGGTGCTACCTCATCCCATTCCTTGCAAGTGTGTCCTTTTAGTCCATAGTCAGTCCAGAACCTCCAATGCACTTCCCAATTTCCACAATAACCCAAGGCCAATTGTAAAATATAAAACTAATTTTCAGAATACAAGTCTTGATATGTCATTCATTAAAGAATTGATATGTCATTCATTAAAGAATATTATTTGATTAGTGTAATTGTCCAAGAAAAACAGATAATTCAAATCATAATGTGTATAATCAGATTGTGCACATGTAAAAATCTTCTCAGACAGATGTGGGCATAGTAAGCTTCTAAGATATATTTAAAAAAGAAATGGAATGATTAGTATGAAAGGACATCTGACCAGCTCAAGATAAAAGAAAATTTATGCAATATTCGAGTGTATTCCATGAACCGTGAATCAAATGAGAAACAGTCATACTGGGAATTTTAATACTATTAAAAAGATTCAAAAATATTAGCAAAGAGTTTCGATGAAATCCAAAGAATGCCAAAGTATATATTCACCAAAGTCACAATCAAATGTCAACAAGTCAGGAGAAATAGGGATCAAAACCCACAAAAAGTCTTTTGGGAACTTGTTAAACAAATATATGAAGACTTGGATTTGGCTCAGGACTCAAACCTGGTCCAGAGCCCAGTTGACAAAAAGAACAATCAGTAAGACCCCAATGTTTTCAAAAGAAACACAAAAACTAGGTTGATAACATTATCCAATTTCAAAGCAAATCTTCCCAACCTTACGACCAAATCTTTTAAGTTTGTTAAACATTCACTAAGAATTGGAGCTCCAAACAAGCATTAGAAAATCTACAAGAAATTATGTCAAGTACCACAAACAAACTGCACAAATATAAAAAAATTAATCAAATCAACTTAAAACTAGAAAACAGACAAGACGTTCATGCAACACCCCAGGAAATTGAAGTTGAAACCGAAATGAAGGAACTCCAAAATAAGTAGTAAAGTCTGCCAACTTCTCTATAGATTTCAAAGCATGCCCAGTGCAATCCAGACAGGAAAACCAGAACGAAATCCAGATCGTGATTGCATCATCCAACATTTAAATTCTCCCATGTATAAAATAAGATGCAAGCAGATCATGATACATATTCTAACTAAACAGGCTGCCAAATACCTCAACAGCCAATGTTCCATGGAGTACAGGCTTTACTTTTGAGTATCAACTCCAACTAATCATGGTTGCCCAACCATCAGTAGTGGAGGATATTGAATCAAGTGATTGATTGACAAACCATCAGCAGGATGTTTAAAGCAGCAGATACACACAAAACAAGGCCCTCAGAACTAAGAAAACAAGAATAGGGAGCCACAGAAGCCAAATCAAATATCAACAAAAATAAAATGTTTCTATGTATCCAATGACATGATCATCAAAATGCCCAATCACATAAACTGGGACAGAGAAAATAAAAAAGTCTCAATGAAATAACAATCCAAACACCACAACCACAGCAGCAGCCTTGATCCATGAGCAATTTGTACATGGATGGATGCTCAATCTCTATAACAATTGTAACCCCACATATTATTGTTGAAATAGAGAGATTAATTAATTGAATAAAGAAACATACAGCAAGAGGAAACCAAGTTATTAACTTGAGTACATAAGAGCAACATAATGAAAAACAGTAATTCATACAAGTATAGTTGCAAGAATCATCTAACAATAAAGGGTGCAGTATCGATGTCTCAAATTCAGCATAACAAAGCTCGGAGGACATGTAACTCAACAGATGCCTTTGTCCCAAATACTGGGTATATCAGTTAATTTAACCCAAGTACCCCTTTAGCCAGTTTGACCTTTATCTGTAACGAAAGGATACTCCAAAAAGAAGGGACTTCTTCATTCTTACACACGATGGAAACCAGTCGAAATATGGCTGGCAAGAGGTCTACAGTGGCCTACTGTTTGCATCAATGAACACAGAGTAGATTATACACCTCTTTTTTCATTAACTTATGAAAATGCATTCACCTATCAAGAGGCACAAATGTTCGCAAGCAAGGCTAATGGGATAAGGAGAAGTTGTTCACTGAAAGCCTACAAATGTTTGTTTCAAAAGTTCATCTTTAGAACCTTATCCAAGAAATATTTCAGTTATGCAATAGATGCAAATACACAAGCACGACACCCACAAGTACTGCTTTATAGGCATTGTTCTAAGTGAACTAATATCAAGTCATCTATATATTGCAATCAACGAACTATTGAAAAGAAACAAAAGGGTTTAATTTTATTTTCCCAACAGAAGGTTAAGTTGAATCCAATGAGCACAAAACAGATTAGTCATTATTTTCTCACTTCAATGGGTATACATCTACAGTAGTGGCATGATACCCACAGAAACAGATAACTTCCCGATCTTTCCATTCAACATAAAGAAGAGCTTGAGACACATTCCAGCACATGATAGCATTCAGCTCATTATGAAATGCTTCTCATGCGAAACAAGACGATTATAAAATGCTTCTCATGAGAAACAATACAATTATTTAAAGGCACAATATTTAAGGGAACAACAGAAATGATGATAAATAAAGTGCTCTGCATATCAAATTTAGAGAGCTTATGAAGTGAAAGGAGAAAAAGAAAAAGAGAAGTACCTTCGCTTCCTGTCGCAATGCTAAATAAAGCCGCATCTCCTTTTGCAATCTACAATAAAGAAACAACAACAATGAACCAACTTATCATCTAGTAAAATTGTAGAGCAAAAAGAAAATACAATACCTCCATTTCTGAGATAACATAGACTCAAATGCCTTCTTTTGGGGCATTTGAAAGAAAGAAAACAAAGAAATCCAGTGTTTAGTCCGCTCCTCAACTGGAAGAGATACAGGGAACAGATCTTCTCCAAATATAAGCTCCATCCCCTGAGGCCTGACAAATGAGACAGTGGGATCCCTTATTTTAAAACATGATACACAACTCCCAATAGAATACAAGTGCACAAATAACCATACCTGAATTCTTTGCAGTCTTTATCATAACAAAGCGTCAGAATTCTACTTGGAATTTTCTCAAAACTGTCATCTAGTGTAAGGACACCAACAGAGCATTGCTTGCAGTACTCCCTATACAGATCCAGCAACTTATGCATGGCATTCTTTCTAACAACAACCTGCAAAGAGAACGCATGATGGAAAGTATCGAAAAATGGATCGAAGTTCAGGAAAGCATCAAAAAATTCACGCAAGATGGAAAGTACCTTCTTATCACGGAGACGTTCAGAAGCATCCATAATCAATTCTGATGGAATACATCTAGGGCTAACTTTTGCTATGTCACAAATTACATTCACAACTTGCATCCTCACTTTATCATCAAAATCCAAGAGCCTTCCTTTTAGAGCAGCTGCCATGGGGTAACAAGTTATCAAACAGAACAGATCCCATAATTTAAAAAATTAAGAGGAAGACATTCTGAATAATGCACAACTAACCGACAATTTCCAGTGTTTCTGGCCCTGAAGGGTTGGCCATGAAGCATCCTTTTGCACACTCAACTGCAATAAGCCTTACTTCAGCAGACTTGTCAGAGAATCTTTTCAAGAACTCAACAAAGAGTTGATGATATTCATGAGCAGCATGATGCCCAGGTAAAGCAAAAATCCTCCCAAGCAATCGAACAGCCTTTATGCGGACATCTACATGCTCTGTCTGTTAGATATAAACCAGACCATTTGGTTAAATCAGTTGCATACAGAACAAAAACTTCAAATACAGAAACCACACACTGGGTAAGTCAGTGACATAACTGGAAATAACCTAGAAAAAGGAAAAGAAGAATTAAGGGCCTAAGGCAAACATTAGAGAAACTGTTGCAGTCATAAATAAAGCACCACATACCAGTAACTCCTGAATCAAATTAGGAATGACAGAAAGAAGCATCTGAGGAGCGCACTGGAAAATTTCAAATATAATTTCATGGTAGGACCCTTGAAGCTCACTCCCTGTAGGGCCACTGTCTAAAATTGAAGATGTCAAAAACCGTCGAACAGATGGCTCAAGCTTTGCTGCGCAGTTCTGAATGGCAGAAACAGAGAGCCTAAAGGAAGCAAAAGGCAAACTCTGCATATAGAGAATTTCATTGTCAAATTACTGAATACTCAATTTCCTTGGCAGTATAACAGACTAATAACTCCAATAAAATAATGATTTCATTACCAATTATCACCTCAAAATTAAAAAAGTACCAAATGGTAAAACAAAACAGCCAAGTAAAACAAGTGATATATGAGAAGAACAAATCAAGTGAAATAATTCATGTTAAAGGAGCATAAAAAAAGCCCCCCTCAGATGCAGTGTTATGCAGCCAGGCATCCAGCAGGAACACAGTACATGAAAAAAATTTTAAGCGTCGATTACAACGTGCAACCAAGTAAAACAAAAATGCAATGAAACATGATTGTACATGGAATGTGTATATATGTACACCAGATTTTCCGCTGACATAACTACGTTTCAATTTGTAAATGAAACCATGTTTCCTGCAAACAAGAACAATAAATTGTCACGTGTAGCAAGATATAATCACTGCCTAATAATACCTTTTTTTTCTCCTTCAGTACAATTCTTTTTTGAAATTTCCCCTTCAATAGATTACGCAGAATCACATCCAACAGTGGTTGAGAAACTTCCCCACTTTCATCTATAATTAGTGTAACTATAGAACAGAAACCCTGGAACACACTCTGTGGATGATCTTCTCTACAGGAAAGCAAGTAAAAGTCAATTAGTAATATCCATTTCACTGAAAGTACTCACAGAAAAAGAAATGGGATTATCTCCAATATGAGAATGAAGTAATACAGATTTCCGCATTAGTTATCAAATACAAAATGCAACAATAAAACATACTCTATTACAAAAATATAATAAAGGGAGTAGGTTAAGGCAGTAGCAGTTGGGTTTTCATAGCGCTACGTCTCAAGATCCATTCCTATGTAACCTTGTCAAAAAAAATACAAAAATAAAGGGAGGCAGTTTAGAAAGGCCACATTTTTAGTAACTGCACCCATCCATGCACTTCAAGTCCAAGAGAAAAGAAGTTCTACCTCCTATATTTTTTTCTTTTAAGAAAAAAGTAGAAAGAGAGTTGTGTACTTGATGGGTCTGAATTGTTCTGATGGGTGCAGTTACAAGAAAAGTGGGTGCCAAAACACTAGCTCCCAAAAAAATATTACCGATTATGATTTTTGTATAGGAAAAAGCTTAAATGAATAATATGCAGCAAAATTAATGAGCAAAGGATTTATCACAAATCATTCTGCATAGAAAGGATCTGGTGACTTACAATCAGATTTCATAGGTACACAATAGTCACATGCATATTCAAAAGGAAAGCCACTTCACTCAATATCATTTGAGAAGTGATATTCTGATCAAATCAACAAATTAGACATGCAAAACATATCTGTTAGAAAGAGATTATCATGGTGGCTTTTACATATACCTCTTTGAATTACATAATAATGGCACTCATGATAAAAAAAATCAGTCGTTTAGGCTCAGACACACCCAAGTCAAGAATCAGGTGAGTCTCACTAAGCCACACCCCTTTTGTGTATTTTTTTCTTATAGACTCCGCTGAGTCAGACAGGCAACTCAGCCAAGTCAGACGTCCAACTTCAGCTCAAGACCCCGGCGAGTCCAAGCCCAAGTGCTTTACTACTGATCTCGCTTGTTGGAATTTCAAGAAGAAACCACAGGTGTCAATGAGGCCACATGTTCAGCATTTCTCTATTCTGTTGAACTTGAGGAGTTTGCGTGGTGCAGGATTATGGATGGTGAAAAGTATACTTCCCATCCTCCCCTAGCATTGTAAGATGAGATCCTACAGAAGAAAGAGGAGGAGGCTGGGTAACCAGTTATTATCACAGGTTACAGTATTAGTAGAGGCACTTTTGAGGTTCCATAAATACATGGAAAAGAAGGTGAACAGTCTAATTCAACCAATGAAAACCAAATAAAAGAAACCATAGAAGCAAATAAAAGCAGAACGGAAATGTGGTGACAAGAAGGAGAATGAAAGACCATAAGAGGAAAGAATTTGCAAAAGGTTGTGAAGGATTTTATTGTGACTCAGATAAAAGTGAGGCAGGAGGTCTCATTTGTCAGGTACAATCCATGGAAGGGTTCGAGAAGGTGAAGACCTGGAAAGAGAGAGCCAAGACACCTTTGGTGACGTCAGGGATTGCTAAAAAGAAGCAAGTTATTGATGTGAAAATGGATCATACGGATTTACAAACATTATAAACAATGTTCGAAAATTCGGCAGAAAATTTTCAAAACGCCTAGGCACAATCTAGGCGGCTGCATAAAGCGTTTTGCTTCTAGGCACCCGCCTAGGCGCCATCCTCTGGGCAGCCGCCTAGGAACCACCCCGTGACAATTTTTGGACGGCAAAAAAAAAACCTTGGGAGAGGGTAAAATACGTAATTTTTCCCCTAAAAAGGGGGGAAACGGATTTTAGGGGGTATTCTAAACCCCCAATATACAATCCATGATATTTAGAGTGAAAAATACTCTCAAGAACCACTATTTTGTGATTTATCGAAAGATCAATAAATTTTATATTTTTCTGATTTCTTCCCAAAACGAAGACAATAGTTCGTGGGTGGATTTGGAGCAGCTTTTAATAGTTGATTTTGAGAACATTTGGTGACACAAGAGACAAGGTTTGCATCGACACCGATTTAATTTTGATAGTTTTTAAGTATTATCATATCTAAAAGAGGATTTTGATTTTATTTTGCTACAATTCATTATGTTATGGATCATGTGTTTTTTCTTTTACATTTTTTTCTTTTACGATATATTTACATGTTTGTAGTTAAAAGATTGATTTTTTTGGTGATTTATTGAATTTTTTCTCACTTGGACGATGAAATTGAGCATATATCGTATTCTTTTATAAATAATTGATTCCTTTTTTTGGTCAGGGCCACTGTCTCTGGGCGCTCGGCTAGGTGGCCAGGCACCCGAAACGCCTCGACACCCGAATTTGTTTTTTTGAACCTTGCGCATAAAGAAGAAGCACAACCGCCTTAAAGTGAGGGAGGCCACTACCACTTCACCAAGCAAATTAAACCACCACTTCCAAGGTACCCACCAGATTTTCATGCTGGCCATATAATCAATGTCAGTGCATCCCATTGATTAACCTTCTCTTTGTTTGGATCATGTATAGGTGGCCACCAAGGAATATTAGGCCAAAAGATACAGAAGAACAGCCCAGGCCCACCCAAACCAAAGACAACATCCCATGAAAAATCCACAGCTTTTCTAATTTTAATCACCGTCATCCCAAAATGATTATACTGCGAGGAATCTTTACATGATTTTGGTCCCAGTAAAAAGGTTCCTACTAGGGAAACCAAGACCAAAGCACATCTCTAATGAGAAGGAAACAAAATTCAGTAAAACAATCACATAATGATCATAAGAATCTATTCAAATTAAATTGTTCCGATGTCATTGAAATAGCCATCCAATCAAACCACTAAAGCACAAAAGCTGTGACAACAATTGAAGTTTACGATGCACATTTTCAGATCTGCCTTTGGAATAGGTCGGCCGTAAAGTTTTCAAGGACCCTCCAAAACCCACACTTATCATCCATGAAACAAGGGATTCAAGATTTTAAAATCCACATATAAAAATAAGGTGCGGTTTGTATAGAGACGAGAAATGTGGTTTCAATATTGAAAATCTTTGTGATAGCCTTAAAATATATTTTCGTATATATTTATAAAGTTTAAAGCTTCAAAAATAGTCTAGATCGACATATCTATGAAAACTTGAAAATCTTGAACATTGACGGTCCAAAAATGCATTACAAAATACACTATTTCCAAAGCTTGCAATCCATTTTTTTTCTCATGTCTATACATCTTGATGTCAAGATGATCAATTTGAAGATATTTGGGTATCAAAACAACCTCTTTCAGTGAAATTTTTGAGGTAGGCTCAAATTTCATTGTTTAGAGTCATTGTTTAGAGTCTTGGCTCAATATAAACTTTTCCCATAAAAATAAGGGGATTGTATACAATGAGACCATTTACCTATTGTACAAGGAGATCACAATTACTTATAGTCATCTGATGTGAAAATTGATAGTTTAAGTATGTAACATAGTTCGAGAAAATTTCTTTTGGACTTTGAGCTTGGTCAATGGAATAAATGCAGCCACCCAATTTCACATCAAATGGATAAAATTAACTATGACCACCTTTAACAATAGATAAATGGTCTCATAGTATCCTTTTCTAAAAATTAATGTCCAAGACAAACAAAAAGATTTTCATTAATTGATAGCTTCAAGCAGAAGCTTTCTTACACCCCAAAAAAGAGTATACATTTGTTAGGAATTTCAAGCACGTCCTAAAGATTCTCAGATCTGGTGGTGCATTACAATCCAAAAACCCAATTACACATTCTCGAAATTGTAACTTCTAAGAGTCATGACTCTAAGAGAGAAAATGGTATTCCAACCTTCTCTGATTCACAGTCCTCGCAGTTTTGAATCATGTTTTCAAGAAAAATGGATCTCAACTACAAGTTACAAAGAACTACATAGACCGATCGAACAGCAAGTCCTAAGTGAGAAATAAGGGGACTTTGACATAAAGCATTGAACTACAGCATATATTTAATATTTGACAATGCAAGAAGCATTGAACTACAGCATACATTTAATATTTGAAAATGCAACACTCCACAGTCAAAGGGTTGATGATGCCGTGAGAATATTTAGGCACCATCACAGATATTTTGATTGATGCAAGAGTCAGATTTCTTCAAAGTAGTAGCTACATCATACTGCACAGTTTGGGCACTGGATTCCCTTCCTCAACAGATCTTATTTTCTTCTTTCTTCAGAGAGATCGAATACATGCTCCATAAAATTTGCATAAAAGCACAACTAATTCTACTGTGTGTCCATATATATAATATATGGGAAAAGTTTATATAGCGCCAAGGCTCTAAACAATAAATTGGAGCCTGCCACAAAAATTTTACTAAAAGAGGTTGTTTTGATGCCCAAATATCCTCAAATTGATCATCTCAACATCAAGATATCTGGACATAGAAAAAAATGGATTTCAAGTTTTGGAAATAGTGTATTTTGTAACGCATTTTTGGACCATCAATTTTCAATATTTTCAAGTTTTCATAGATCTGTCAATCTACACTATTTTTGAAGCTTTAAACTTTATAAATAAAGATGAAAATATATTTTAAGGCTATCACAAAGATTTCCAGTATTGAAACCACATCTCTCGACACGATTTGAAGGCAGGCTCTAGCCTAGGCTCTATACAAACCGCACCCATAATATATATATAGAAAAAATTTATGTAAGGTTGCAGTAATCTACACCGTTCATTTAATTTGGATGGTGCAGACTGAACACTATCTTAAAAGACATGCCACTTTTTCACTGTCTTAAAAGATGTGTCAATGCAACCTTAATGCAACAAGTAGGGTCGCAACCTTATGTAAACCACACCCATGCATGTATATGTATGTGTGCGTGCATATAGTTAATGATGTACTTCCATTTTATTACGAGTTGATTAGCATGGTAGTTTTATACTAGATCAAAACACATGCACACAGGCCGCTATGAATCATCATGTAGCTGTTCCAAGATACATTGAACCCCAAACCTTACAGGAACAGACACTCTGGTCCCCACACCTTGCGACTAAGGGTTCAAGCCCAATCCTCCATCAATACCTTGGTGCTACCAATTTTCTATGCAACTAACTGTAGCACCCTGGATAAGAAATAATATTAATTAAGCAAGCCAGGAATCAAAATCAAAGTACCACCAGGTTCCTATATAAATTACCTCAAAACAGAAAAGAAGACATTGAACATTTCCAGAACCAAATCGTCACAGCCAATGTCGAGCATCAATACGCAGCACCGGACTCTTGCAACTATGTCCAGGATGTTAACCCTTTTCGTAAAGTAAGGGCTGGATGTATCATCAAGATCTTTGAAGATGCTGATGAACAGTTGAAAAATCTCCTGCATGTAAGAAGCAATAAGGGGCCAAAAGGGCAAACATTGCAGTATATGCCAGAAAACCTTTACCACATAGAAATATGATGTTATTCCAAATCACACATCCTCCATGAAAGCTAATTGAGAAATTCAACAATAATGATGCAGAATTATGGTCCAATTAAACAACCAACCACAAATACAGAGTACAAAACATGCATATAATATTCTGATATTAGAACAATCCTCTAATACGAATAAAAAGCAAATAAACTAGAAATTTCGATTACACTTTGTCATGATTAACACCCATTAAGGGGACTAATATCTCACCCACATCATATAGAGAACAATGACATTTCAGAAGTATAATTTGTGGTTCAACTTCGGAGTAACCCAAGTCACGTCAACTTATAATGCAGTGGACCAACTCATACACAACCCGGAGGAAAAAGACCATTGACTTGTACACAAGAGAGACCAGAGAGAGAGACCGTGAGAGAGAGAGAGTTTGAGAGAGAGGAATGCATGTGATTTTATATTCTTAGTGTTGCCAACAAAGTGGGAGTTAAATAGCATTGCATTTTCCGTACCCATCATAGAAGAACAAAGCAAACATTGTCTGGGAAAAAAGAAATTGGACTGAGAAAAAAAGGGGTGCATTCATAATTAATATTGGAAGTATAGGGACACTTACTGCCGGCTCATATTAGCAAAGCATACAAGCATTGGCATTGGCCACGGTATGCCTAACCTGTGGCTTTTTTTGGGGGGGGGGAATGGTAACGTGTATGTTATTTATATTGCAATAAATCTTACAAAAATTTCCCACAAGAGGTGGGTTGAGGCAGCCCACACATCAGGTCGCCCACATACAAAATTAAAAACAAGGTTAGATAGTACCACAACATTAAAAATCTTGAGGGGAGCAAAGCATCACGAACATTGAGGAGCCAATAAATGGTCATGGGTAATTTACACAAACATAATGTAGAAAAATTGGTTGTAGTAGGATGAACAAAAATGATCGTACGAGAACACACACTATCCCCTTGCAGCACCCTCTCTAGCCAGTAAATCAGCTGCTGCATTGGCCTCGCACCAGGTGTGCGATAAGGAGGCTCGAGGCCTGCGTAAGGGAAATATGCAGTTAAAGAACTAAGTCTCATGGGCATAATGAGGTTTTAGACGCCAAGAGAAAACATTTCTGGAAACCCCTTCTATCACTAGGTGATCACCCCAAGTTGGGTTCTCTAGACTCAGCCATAGTTGAATAAGCAAAGCCGATGTGGCCATGGGAAGAAAGAATAGTGTAACCATAGTTGTCTATGAAAATCCCTCTAAGCCACTACGCCTACGTTGCCACGGGAGCAGCAATCGACATTCAATTTAATGGCATTAGGGGAAGGGGGGGATCCACAAGCAGGATGTTATGGTAACAGATTTGTATCTTAATGTGTATATGATACATGCTAAGCGTGAATATCTCTATTTTATACCACAAATTTTCTTTATCTATGACACACACCAAGTGCAAATTTTTGCATAAACACAAATTTGCATTTCATAAAAAAGAAAGTTCACTCTTCAAACTTCATTCCAAAACTACAAGATTCCTTCGAGATATTTCATAACCACATCTCCAAAACTTATAAACGTAACATGATACACTGAATCCCATTGAATAATAAGAGCAACCTGATAACTGACAACCCCAAAGCTTTAAATCCCAAAGTGTCAGCCTAAATAATGTTGTGGAAAAGCACCACAAGGCATAAAAAATCTATCATAACCTTGAAGGGCTCAAAATTAAGCAACAGAAAAGAATATTTCATAAAACCGAACTATACTTTGGATCAACATGCTACAAAAAGCCATCTAGTTGAAACGCTACTCGTTCAGTCGAAGCATTGCCAAACCCTTTCGTAGACCTTACGAGCTCGTTGGCTCGCTCCGTGTTAACTTCAAGAATCTCTTTCTAGTTGCTCTGGTAGTGACTTATTTGGCTCACATACAACCCTCGTGACTTGCGTAGTATCTACATCTTGTGACCATAGAGACATACAATGCACATAGTGGGGGGAGAATGCAATGAACACGGTGTCAGCCCAACCATTATAAGCATTCCACATGAATAAGGGAGCCTTGACCAAGGAACACAAGCTAAAAGCATAGGCAGACATCCAGCAATGAAATGTACAAACTGGAAGGAAATGGCTATGGTTGCATCTCATATGCAAAGGCAGATAGATATCTGATGGTTCATATATGCCAAAGCTAAAAAATTAAAAAAAAAAAATTTGTTAGATTATTCTGGATATTTAGCCAGCAAAAAGCAATACAATGATGGTGAAAGGTCAACAAGAACTGTAGATATCAATTCTCAATACTAATAAATCATAAATGCAATACTAATTGTCAATTAGTAGTTTTCCGCATTGATTTCGGCAACTCGAATTCTACAGCTAACACAAGATGTATTTTCCTATAGAGATTGCATGGAATCATAAATGTCTGCGACAAAAAAATAGAACAAAATAAAAAGGCCAGCAGTACCATCTATGCTCATGGCCCATGATATAGAGATATATTTACCCTTAATGTATCATCACTGTAAGAAATCTCAGGCGCCAAGATCCGAAAGATTTCACTAAAGCACACTGCCACTAGAAGTCTCACATCCTTATCTTTATGCTGGAAAAGATTATGTCTAACAAGGGAATCACTTATGGGTTCTAGAACAGATTGCAATGATGGAGCCTGACCTAACTCCTGTAAACCACTCACAGCTTTCTGGAAAAAAAAAAAAAGGTAAAATGAGAAAAAAAAGGTTATTAAATCAAAAAAGAAAGCATAAATATCAAAGTTACCGGAACATAAAGAGCATTTTAGTCGCTTTGAATCTAGTAAGACCTAACTAATGAACAAAAATATTAAAGTACAAAAAAAGTACGTACATTAAACTACAAATAAGCGCCTCTCTCTCTCTCACTCTCTCTCTCTCCAGTTTGAACTGATGTATTCGTTGCCTTTTTGTGGGTTACAGAGTTGTATTTTTGAAAAAAAAATTCAATATTTTTTTTGTGGCTTCATGTAAGCCTGATAATCAGCTTAGATGGACAGGCCAGGTCAAGCTCATGTTTGTCTTCTAGACCCGGCAGTTAGGATCCGGGTCCAAAAGTATGGACCAGATTGACAGATCAGGTTCAGAGGGCCCGACCAGCCCAGGTACATTCTCTCTATACAAATATATATTTTTCTACAAAATGTGTGTGTGTATGTATGTATGTAATGTATATATGTATGACCAACCTGGACTGCCTGGACTCAACCGTGTCCAGGTCATCCCTTAAACCTCATCCAGTCGGCCCGGTCGAGCCCGGCACAACCACAACCGACCTTTTACACCCCTTACACGGTTGTGTTTCTAACTTATTTCTACATATTATCATTATCAATAAAAATAAAGCTATTTACAAAATGTCCATCCACCTTTGTCATAAATTATCATTGAAAAGCCCCCCCAAAAATTCGCAGACTTCATAATGCTGATTAACAAAATGAATACGAAATAAATCACCATCAACATGTAATTTGCTCTTGTATGAGCATATAGTCTTTCAAAATAAAATATGTTGCCTAATCCAAATCTTGAAAAAGTTGTTTCCTAATGCCATAATAGTTTCCAATTGGAGATGTTTTTACAGTGGTTATTGGTTAAGTATCTTGACATTTACGGTATTCACCAAGATAAGAGTGTTAAATGAAAACCAAGCACAAGTAAAGCAGTATCCACAAATGTCAAAAGCATTTATTAGTTAGATATAAAAAACTGATACAACTAGACATATTTTTAATATTATTTATTGACAAATATATTTTGGTATATGTGATGTGGATTTCCTTTTATACTACTTTACAAGTGGACGATGAGGTCGTACAATGGAGACAATATACCATATGAATTCACATGTCATCAAGTATCGACACACAAAACCAAAAGAAATGTGAAGTTTTGTAATAACATAATCTAGATATGCTTTTGGAGATTTAAAGTATGGTGGACCTGCATGTCCAACTTACACATTTGGACTTGTGGCCGTGATCAAAAGCCATCCAATTGTTGGATAACATGATAAATGGTTTTGAGAGCTCGAAATCATGGTTCTTTTCTAATATTATTTTTTAGAAGAAAAATCTCTCCACAAGTCATGGGCTAGCAGGGCCCAATTATTTAAAATGACATGGAAATTCATACACTGGGGCAGTTCAGTTCATTTTTTATTGTCTGACTTTTTAAATATTTCTTCATGTGCGCCATTCTCAAACCACTCCATAAATTATCAAGTTTAAATGATAAATAAAAACATTAGAAGTGAAAGAGTGACAATAAATGCTGGCCATTGAATGTGATAGGATTGAATCTGAGCTGTCCAACCTATGTTGTTCCATAGACTGTTCGGCTCACAAACATATTTATAATGAAGATTAATTACAAAATTTGGAGCCTTTGTCCTACCAGTTTGCCATTCAAAGGGTGTGTTGGTTCCTTAAAGCTGGATGGAACTTTTAAAAAGAAATGATCAAGATCTTTTAATTTGCCATGGGCATACGCCCAAAGTATAGCATGCACAGCCTGCATATGTGATCCATGGTATATATTTAGGTGTAGAGAATTATTCCAAAGTTACAGCATAACATTTTTAGAAGATCAGGCAAGAGCTTCTTTTTGGGGTGCAAAGTGGCTTGGCCTTACATCGCAACAGGTGTTAATCTATTTCCACACGTAATGTTTGTAGTTGGACTACAACTCATGCCCATACAAATTCCACCTCAGTTTTTTTATCATCCCACAGCAGGATCTCCTGCATGCTATCATTTATAGGTCAAAAAAAAACTATAGAGAGAAATATAGATCAGCTTACATGCAGAAAGTCATTTTAGCATCCCTTTGATGAAAGTCCCACTCCACAGTGATTTCATGAGTTTATAAACATCGAGAACATAAGAAATATGGAATTATGGATGCTACAATAGCAGCATCAGTTTGGTACAAATTAGCTCTAAAGCACTGGAAAATTTAAAAAAAAAAAAAAGTCAACAGTGAAAGGGAAACCCCAACATGGATAACGACTTTGCCAAGCAATTCGCATTCCAGAAACAAAACCCAAATGAACTAATGCATTACCATGGGTAACAATCCTGAACATGAATGGTTTAGTAATAGAAAATATATGGTTCAAAACTATCTCGCCCCAGATTATGAAGAACAAACTGTACCTATTCAAGATAGTTGCTCTATACAAGAAGGGGAATAAACTGCCAAATTATAAAAACAGCCAGATACACCAATAAGGCAGAGCAGTAATATTAAGGGTTGGCGAGAGATAATTGCTCAAAAGGAGGATAAAATAATAAAACACTATAAAACCAAGGAGTTTTTCTGAATAAAAAATGCACCATTCTTCATTTAATGAAGCAATCAAGTAAGAAGTCAACTGTCTTCACATTACATCAAAACCAATTACACCATTTCCCCTGCTCGGAAAACTAGAATAAAAATCAACTATACCATTTCGAATACACAGAAAAAACCACTGAAAACCAAATTAAAATAACACAAATGAGAAAATATCTTCAAAACTAGAAGAAGCGTCATAAAACAAAACTACAAATGAGATTTTGAGCTCACCTTAAGCAATTTAATGAGAGAGTCCTTGTTGAGTTGAGACTTAGAAAGGCGTTTTCCTACATCAGTCAGGGCAGGCTCGACCGCGCTAGCCATGGCTGATATGCTAAAACCTAAACAGAATAACCAAGCCCCTCTTCCTTATACAACCTCCATTTCACCGAAAAAAGGATGGGGTTTTCCAGATTAGGGTTTGGAGCATTGCAAGCCAAAGCTTCTTTCTCTGAATTTAAGGGCGAATTACATTAAGACGGAGAAGGTTATCGCGCGCTTATAACCGCCTCTGCAATTTTCCCCTCTTTTCCTCTCTCTCTAAACTCTCACTCCTAAAAGTTCATTGGCGCGCTTGTGTTGTATGACGGCAACCCTGGACTTTCTCTCTCTAATAAAGCTATTCGTCTCTAGAGTCTTTTCGCGCCCATTTGATAATCTCTTTTTCCAGTAGGCCTGGCGATGGACCCGACGAGACCCGAACTGAACCCGGTGGATGTACCCAACATGGCTCTGGGTATGGGTGCAATATTTGGACCCATTGGTAGGGCCTGGTTTTAAAACCTAGACCCGAATACTATTCGGATTTGATATGGTATCTGTTTGACCTGACCCGAATTGCTTAATCTGCTGGAAATAGAACACTTCAAGCCCTAAGGATCATATACAATAAGAATTTGTAGTCATCTTCAGTTGTTAAACGTTCAATTAGACGGCTTGAAATCTATTAGCAGGTGATTGTCGCCTTGTTGTCAATAATATAAGTACGTGATAGTCAAAAAAAAAAAAAGGTCAAAAAATAATAATAATAAACTCATAGTGATGGTGGTAATGAACCCAGTTAAACCCCGCACGTGACGGGTACAAGTATGGGTCCAACTTTGGACAATTGGGTTCGGGGCCAAAACCTAAACCTGGTCTGGGTCCAGGTCGGGGTCCAGCCATACCCAACCCATTGCTTCCTTACTCGCCAGTCATGTATACCCTTTTCTTTCTCTAGACCACCGAACATCCCTGCTCCACTCTCAAGAAAATAAAGCTACTCAAAGTTTACACTTGGGAAATTGGAGTTTCGATGTTGACAAGTGGGAACTTGCTCAGCCTGCTCGCTTTCTCTCTCTTTGATAGAGTGAGTTTAAGACGTTCTCTCTCTAGAGTACAAAGATGCAACCTATAATCTCTACTCTTCTCTATCGCTCTTCAAATTAGTGAGCTTATGAGTTAGGTATTTTTTTCTTATATTTACGCATGTTATAACCCAGAAGTCTATGAGAGTGGCTTTGCCTGAGGCCCACATTACATTTATTGCTGCATATAGGTGTCCAAATTCATCAAGGCCCTTTATGTTTAATATTTGAGGGTTCACTGTTCCACATTTCTATGTTATTTTGAGGAAAATTATCAAAATGAAAACCATTTTTTTTTTTTTTATTGGTTTTTAAGAATATTTTTAAAATGTGGAGTAGTACAAAAAGCAGGTTGTTTTTTTGGGTGAACAGGGAGGAGTCATCTACTTTCAAGGAGGTTATAATCATTATTGTTTATTAGATTTCAATTATGGTGATTGTGAGCGTGATGTTTAGTATGTTTTTAAAAAAAAAGCGAATTTTGAGCACACCTCAAGTCATTCAATTTTACATCTAATAGCTAAAAGCAATTGTGACTTTGTAACAAAGATTTATTCTCTCATAGTATATAATCTTATAAAATATACATGAACATGAGTGGAACATTTGGATATAGGCAAAATGTTGAATAGGCAAAATGTTGAATAGTTGATGAAGGATACCGCCCTCGCCATATGAAAATGCGACTGACTGAGCTTAAGTAAATATAAAAAGAGTATTTTGTCTTTTATCAAGATAGTCCTTAGTTAACTATAGTATTCCTAAAATGTTACATTGTAGATAGAGGAGTTGTGGGTTTTTTGTATTTTATTGAGCAATAGAGAACGGAAAATGATGTATTTATACCGAAACACTTTCTAGAGCGCTAACTCCTAATCCATTTGAAAAAACAATTCCCAGTTGAATTATCCCAAAAAAAAAAAAAAAAAAGACGCATTGAATAACATACGCCACCCACTAACACCTTCAAAAAATGCTTCCTCTTAATCTATTTGAAAAAACAATTCCTCATTGAATTACCCAAAAAAAAAAACCGTACATGTAGCAGCTGTGCAGCAGTTGATTTCAATTAACAATCATAATTCCTCATTGAATTACCAAAAAAAAAAAAAGCCGTACATGTTGCAGCAGTGCAGCAGTTGATTTCAATTAACAATCATGCTACTATTGAATAAAGACATCTCTCAACTTCAAATGCCACTGTCCTACCCTTTAAATAGAGTTCAGATTTCCCCATTTAATAGAAATTAAGGCAATTACAATATATTTTAAATTTGGTAGATGGCATAGACTCTGCTTCAGGTATTCCTTAGAACTAATTTGCCCAAAACAATCTTATGCCGACTGAATTTAATCAGAAGGGGCAAATAACAGTCTTTGTCCATGTTTGGAACACTACCTGAATTTTCAGCCTTTATCTCATCCATATCCTTAAATTTCTAATATAATTTCCATAAATCCTTTGTTCAAATAAGTGTTCACAAAATCGAGCTGAAACGGTTAACCGGACATGGGCCTGGAAGCGGTTTAACTGGTCTAATCAGTAAAACGGACAATTCAACCGCTCTAACCGGGCAAATCCCGGACGGTCAAAAAAGTGTTGAAAAAAATAAAAAAATACAAAAAAAAATCTACTAAAATATAAAAAACATATAAATAATGATTAAAACAAAATACATTCAAATGAAGTTGAAAATTAATAAAAAATTGGATTTTAACCTATTTTATATTTTTCAATGGCTATTTTTAAAATTTTTTAAAAAATATAGGAAAATATAAAAGTAAGTATTAATCACCAAAACAATATTTAATCTTACCATAATGTAAGGAATATTTAAAAATGCATTACAAATCAAATTATTTATTTTTGAGAATTTATATTTATTTTATTTTATTTTTTATTTTTTAAATACCGATTGATCACCCTAACCTCCCAAAACTGAAACCGGCCAGATCTAACCTAACAGTTGGTGGTTAGATCGAGTGATTTTACAAACAATGGTTCAAATGAACATAAGTGACAACAACTTGCCACTATTGATAATTGATGACGGATAGTACAAACACCAAAGCATGCTCACACACAAAATAAAGGGAAATTTATCCAAATGAATATGGCTTGTCAACTATTTAATTCAACTATTCCAGGTCATATATATTTTGATGGATATTTTGAAATTAAATCAAAATGTGTCTAAAATACTTAGTATTTCATCTCTTAGGTATATTCTGAAAATCTCCTAAATAAATGACAATAATAATATGAAACTTTTTTACTATTGAAATATATAAAATGAAATTGATATACTATTTTTTTAAATTAAATAATACAAAAATAATAAATTATATATATATAATATATATATATATAGTCGGTGGGTGGCGAAGG